ATTGATTCTTCAATTATGAGCCGGGAGTAGTTTTAATTAGGGATTTGGGATTGATGAAGGGGTTAATCACGATGTATGGTTAGGTTCTTGATGGTGTAAATTGCATGAATGCCGTTTAATTTGTGTTTGAGTAATTTAATTGTTATCTTTTGTAACCTAGATGGCCACTAGAATTACAATAATCGCATGTAGGATAAATTAAGAGAGATCTAATTTATTCTAGGACACATTCACACACACTTAATCGTTCGCTAAGAGATTAGTAGCGATTAAGGGGCCGTAAGCTCATTCGCTTTGGCAATAATTTAGGATCCTGTCATATGAGAGATCAGCCTGGTCCCCTAAATTATTGTACTCTACGCCGCGAGAGCGGTAATAACTTAGTATTGATTAGCTAGGCTCAATTAAATTAAATTCATGTAATTAAGCCTGATCTGCCAGAAATTTGATCACCCCGGAATCAATCCCTGTTCCCTTCATCGTTAATTAAGAAGAACCCAATTTTAGTTTTCTCAATCAACCAAATCTCGCACGACTGCATTTATTTTATTTCTTTTCTTTATCGCTAAGTTTAGTTAGTCCTTAATTCCCTTTTTACTGTCCCTGTGGAGACGATACTCGTACTTTCACCGCTATTCTACCATCTTTTTATGTGCGATAAAACTCACATCAGTTTTTGGCGCCGTTACTGGGGACGATGTCAGTTTTAAGGGTTAATTAATTTCAGCGAAATTTTTTTTAGTTAGATTTTTTTTAGTTTTCCGTAGGATTTCTCTGTACTAACCTTTCAGGTATTTTTCTAAGAGGCATGAGATGAACCCATTCAACCAAATTTCTGGAGGAATTCCTTACCCTCAAACCTCCATGGAATATTCACCATATACGCCATATCCTCCTTACACTCCTCCTCCTCCTCCTCCTCCTCCTCAATACTACACACCTCATCAAAATTATTCTCCAACACCATAAACTCTTCAGCCATCATATTCATATCATCCAAAAGAGTGGGGGCGAGGTAGATGATGTTCATAATGAATAAGTCTCACTCCACAAGCAAGAATTCCCCTCTTGTACGCATGCACCGATCCACTCTTATGTGGTAGATTTGGATTTCTTTGATTCACTCCTTGAGGATGATATTCCTTTTTGTGTGGAGAGTGACAACATCATCCAAGAAGACATTCATGAGAACGGTGTTACCGAGAGTTGGGATGCTCACATGGGGAGTGATATAGAGTCTGGAGGAGAGGTTGTGAATGTTCATGATATTTGTGGAGAAGAAAAAGACTTTTCTATAGTGCAGTTCGATTACGGTGTTGCTCCTACTCCTTGTTTTGAAACATCTTTTGAGCTTCCGGTGATACCTAGAGTAATCAAAGTTTTGACTCATGTTCTCTGTCCACCCGAAGAGGATGAGAGTTTCATACTTCACTTCTGTGCTGATGAGGGTTATGAAGACCATGTGCTGCCTACGTGTACTCGAGAATTTAAAGGTCTGCGACACCTAATGACATTTGTTGAGAGGAAGCTGGAGACGTTGATTATTAGTGCACCACTGCAGTCTTTGCTATTTGAGAGCATATGAGGTATCGGCGGGCAAACGACGTTAAAAATAGTGCTTCTTGGGAGGCAACCCATGTTTAATTCTGCACTTTTGTCTTTGTCTGTTTGCTTTCAAAAAAAAACCCGAAAAAAAGAAAAAAAATCCGGAGTGTTTTCTGTTTTTGTGTTTATGTTTGTGTGTTTTGTTTTTGCAGCTCAGGGTCTTGTTTTGGGGATGATGTGCCGAGGATCACTTGACTCAGTTTAGTTCTGCACCGACCAGCACCTTAGGGAAGTTTCTGGGACTCTTATAATCGCCTATTTGTAATGTTGACTTGAGTTGAGATTGAGCACGTGTGACCCTTTCCTCTTTACCCCTTGTGCATAGTGCATTTTTGGTCATCGAGGGCGATGCCAAAGTTTAAGTGGGGGGGGGGGGGGTGAATTGGGCATTCGGGCAGTAGTTGTCACATGAGATTTTTAGAGTCAGCATGCGCACGTGTTAGTTGTATATTCATAGAAATTTCATGTCAAAATTTTTGAATTTTTTTCTTTAAACTATGTCTTTGTGAGTTGGCTAGTGTTTTGACTATGCTTTTAGAACATCTTTGAAGTGTTTAGGATGAAGGCATTAGTCACCCATTTAATTCATAATTTTTCCATCTCACATGAAAAAGTCCTTTAGGAAAAGACACTTTGAGCCTGACCATTTTGTTCCTTACCCAATCAATTGAGCTCCATAACCAAATGACATGTGTTCCTTACCCGTGAATATTTTTGACTTAACCTTGGCATTTAGGGAACTAGGGGATTAATTTGTTAAGTTTAGGGAATTTGTGTAGGAGCCATTTTTGGCACTGTTCCTATGCCCCAAAGTGGGGTAAGAGCAGTCACTTTTTAGGAATTTGATACTTTCGAGAATTGCATTGTAGGCATGGATTCACATTAATAAATGAACTTTAATTGTTATTTTTCCTTGGTGAGGCCGACATTAGAATGGGGTAATGTCTAGTAAGAATCCGAAAGGTGAAAAATTAATATAGCTAGACCTCTTACCTTGCGAAAAAGAGAATGGGAGCCCCGGTCAAAAAGCGTAAGTGTTTTGCACAATAAGATGAGACCTTGGGTATCTTTCGAAAGAAATGACGTTCTCGTGCCAACATGATAAGGAAAACTGAACTTATTTAATGAACTTGGAGGCTTTAGCAAAATTAGCTTTAGTCCTCTGCGTACTTTAAGTATACGTCAAAGCACCAATATTCCACGGCGGTTTAGCTTAGTTGTACACACCATGTCTACTCTTTGCATAAGTTTAGGTGATTGTTCCTAAAGTGTGGCCTACTGAGTTCCATGATCCTAAGAATAGCCCTGAAGTTCCTGAATGCATTGAGTATTTGTTAGAATATTCCAATCTCTCAAAAGAAAGAGACTGTTTATTACCATTCACCATTCACCATCACCTTCTCAAATCCTTCTGATCGATAGCTAGTTTATTTGTGTTTTGCTGTCATTACTTCGAGGATGTTGTGAGTACTTCGTCAAATAGTTTAGCTTGAGTACAAAGATGTAGTTTAGGGAAGAATTTTCTTGATTTAGATTGTCTGTTCTGTGAATATCCCTTTAGCTACGTGTGCATGCTAACTGTTTTAAATTCCGTGTGATGATTATCGTAAGTCCCGTTGTTCGATTTGCTTGAGGACAAGCAAAAGCTTAACTGTGGGGGAATCTGATAAGTTCGTATTACAACACGCATTTGATGCGTGTTGGAGTCGGATTTTGATGGTTTTCCTAGCTTTAAGGTGTTCCAAGTCTCAATTTTAGTTCAAGATGTAATTATCAGGCGTTGGGTCAAGTTTTGTTGCATTTGGAGTTGAATTGAAGAAGTTAGAGACCGACATCGGTGCTTAAAGAGGAAATCGGGAAGATTTTGGAAGCATTCTAGGAAGATTTGAGAGCTTTGGAGGTCACCGGGAGGTTCACGATGAAGATTTGAAGTAAAAAGAGCTCTAGGATTGGCTACGGGATCAAAAGAAGATGAATGGAGCTTGAAATCAGTGATCAGGATGACCTTTTGTCAATCGTTCAAGCATATCTCTTTGTAGAAACATTCCATGTACACGATTCAAAGTCCATATGAAAGCTATCTTCAAGGGCTACAAATCATATGAAGATACATTTGCTAGAATCTGAGATAAAGAAAGTGAAAACAGACAATGAAGTCAGATGATCTATGATGCGATTTCAGAATGATACCTTCCACCGTTTTGATCATATCTCTTGATTGGATGACTTCATTATATACAACTTTTATGAAGGAAGAATTGCCAATTTCAGAAGATAAGTAGGCACGATCGTGCCCTCAAAGTCAGGCACGATCGTGCGTGAAGAGAAAGCATCGCGGAGCTACTGCCAGGCAGGCACGATCGTGCCTGGTAGGCAGGCACGACGTGCTTGCCCAAAATGCGCGTTTTTGCTCCGGAGGCACTATCGCAGGCACGGTCGTGTCTGGCGCCATGCCTGACCCCGTTTTGTCCTAATTCAGCCCAAATTGCCTTGTTTCCTTTAAATAACACCCCTATAACCCTAATAAGGGGGGATGGAACTTATTTAGCAGCTGAAGGACGAATTTGAGAGTTTTTAGCCTTGGTTTTTTCTATTCTTTGAGATTCTTTGTAAGTCCTACTTTTTAATTAATGACAATTATTTCTATTCTTCCCAATTCTATTGATTCTTCAATTATGAGTCGCGAGTAGTTTTAATTAGGGATTTGGGATTGATGAAGCGGTTAATCACGATGTATGGTTAGGTTCTTGATGGTGTAAATTGCATGAATGTCGTTTAATTTGTGTTTGAGTAATTTAATTGTTATCTTTTGTAACCTAGATGACCACTAGAGTTACAATCGCATGTAGGATAAATTAAGAGACATCTCATTTATTCTAGGACACATTTGCACACACTTAATCGTTCGCTAAGAGATTAGTAGCGATTTGGCAATAATTTTGGATCCTGTCGCATGAGAGATCAGCCTGGTCCCCTAAATTATTGCACTCTACGCCGCGAGAGCGGTAAGAACTTAGTATTGATTAGCTAGGCTCGATTAAATTAAATTCATGTAATTAAGCCTGATCTGCCAGAAATCTGATCACCCCGGAATCAATCCCTGTTCCCTTAGTCGTTGATTAAGAAGAACCCAAATCTTTATTTTTATTCGTTTATTTGTAATTTTAGTTTTCTCAATCAACCAAATCTCGCACGACTGCATTTATTTTATTTCTTTTCTTTATCGTGAAGTTTAGTTAGTCCCTAATTCCCTTTTTACCGTCCCTGTGGAGACGATACTCGTACTTTCACCGCTATTTTACCATCTTTTTAAGTGCGAGAAAACTCACATCATACAACATCAGTGGGCTGCTAGATTTCAGGGTTGATCTGTTCGGCCTCATAACCATGAAGCCTAGGGTTAGAGTAAACACCAACTCCCAACTCCCAACTCCAGAAGCCTCCACGCCCCCTTCGAACATCTCCCTTACCTACCATCTAAAAACAGTTCCGGATTCCTCTTCTAAAGCAAACTTCTTTGATGGTAACCTCCATCCGACATCCGACAAAAAACCACACCCTCCTCTCATTCACTTCTAGTACTTAGCTACCATTCAAGCAAAACCTCTGTCAACATTGATCGATCAGTAACAGGATGTTTTAGATCTGAGGATAAGTGGCCGATACCTAAAACATTGAAGGTTCTCAAAGACCGGGCACAAGAGATCTATTAAAGGTGTGCTTCCTACAATTTTAAGTTCATTGATTTGAATTTCAAACTGAGAATTGATTTTTTTGGAAGATGTGGATGGAGATTCCGCTGAAATTTAGAAACGGTCTAATCAAGGCGCTGCTGACAGACAAATGCTTCTCAAAATTATTCCTCGTACTTTAGAAGTTCAGTAAATCCATTGTAATTTATGCAATTGATGGTATTTTACTTTTTTAATGCTCATCATTTTTCAATTTTTTCATATTCCATTGATGGTTTCTTATGCATAGTTTAAATAGATGCTTGGAGAACAAAAACTGGAATGCTGCGATTTGGATAAAATGCATCCTAATCTGACTATATTATACGGAGTACTCCTTAATGTTCAAAAGCTAAAGTGTTGACTCAAAATCAATGATTTGTTTGAAATGCCTAAACTCTACCTAATCTGCCTAACCTGCCGAATCATCATAATCTTAATTATTGGCGTATTCACTAATAATTAAAATCTCTAGTATGAAGTTACAAACAAATAACCTCCACATTTTTTAATCATTACTACTACATAATCATTACATATAAAGTATAAACTCATGAGTTCAAATAAATAATTTTCAGGGATTAGCTAAACCCTGTTTTTCTCTTATAATACAGTTTCCCGAAAATGAAAACAATGATTTCTCGAGCATAACTAAAATCTGCCCAAGCTGTATAACTTAAAATCTTATAAATTAATCTCCTGAAATGAAACCAAGGAATTGTTAGTCTTTGCTAAACTCCATCAGTTTGCCTAGTTTTTCTTCTCTATACTACGCACTACTACAGGAATGACTTACTACGACGCACATTTCACGTCAGTTTTCAAAAACCGCCCTCAAAAGGTATATTTTACATTGGTTGTCTAAAAACCCGACGTTGTAGATTTTTAAGAAAAATTATACTTCCTCCGTCTCTAAATAAAAACATATGTTTCCTTTTCGAGTAGTGCCTACATAAAAGTTCCTTTTCCTTTTTTGGCAAACAAAATAGTGCAAAACAGTGCAAAATAGTGCCAAACAATGCCAAACAGTGTCCAAACAGTACCAACCAAATCCACTTTCTTAAAATGTGTGGAAAACGAATGGATACTTTTATATATGGACGGAGGGAGTACTTTCCTCTCACGTCGGGTTATATTGCGACTGCCGTAGTAGATGTGCATTTATATTAAATAAATAACGCCTGTTATGAGCAAACAGCGTAAAAATGTCTTCGATTTTAGCACGAACCGCTTTACTTTGTTATAGCCACGCTGAAGTTGTTTAAAATTAAAAATAAATACACCACAAGTTAAAAGAAAGGAAATTGGATGGCCATGGAACCCTTCTTTCATCATCTCTATTCCCTGTGCTCGAAATCTTTCTCTGCTAAATTTGCCGATCTCCTTCCTGCGCTTAAACAACGCTTGTCAGCTCTTTTCCATACGCTCGAAATATGGTTACCTTCTATCGCTCAGAGTGGGACGATCCGGTACAAGGTTGGCCGCATTGTCTAGCGAAATCTCCTCACTGGGTTACAGTGCGAATTTTCTTTCTTATGCGATTGAAATTCTGGAATACTTTCTATTGTATATGAAATCCCCCCCCCCCCCCCCCCCCCCCTCTAAAATTTAGGGTTTATGTTTCAGACTTTATTTTTTTATTTCAATTGTGAGTTCGGCTCTGCATGACGCTCGTATTGCAGAGAGCCAACTTCAAACTATCTACTCCTTTCCCGGATCCTAGTCTTTCTCATAGGTTTTCGGAAGAGCTGTTGGTTTGTATAGATGCATCTTAGCAGCGGCTCCTGCTCGCAACCACATGGACCCGCCCTGCGAGGCCAGATTGGGCCTAGCGGTCAGACTATTATGTTTGCTTAATTTTCTTTCTCTATTTATGTTATTGGTGCTTTGTTAATATATTTTGATTATAATATATAATTAGTGTGTATACAACTGTGAAACAAATTTTAAGTATTTACTTAAAATTGATCACAAATAATAATATGTGAGAATATTGGGTACAATCTCTAAATATTAATCCTCTGATTCTTCACTTGCAATTTGAAATAAATATAATTAAAGAAATTAATTCAAAATTAAATCTTTAATCTTTCAAACGTTCGAACGTTCTTCAGATCTTCAAATCTTTGTTCTTGAGATCTTCGAATCTTCGAATCTTCGTTCGTCAAATCTTCAAATCTTCTTGAATTAAGAATTCAACTTGAAGGGTCTCCGGTTTTCAAGTGGCTTGATCTTCAACAAAAGGGCCGTTTTATGGCTTGATCTTCTGTTTAAGGGCCTTCCGGGATATATGGCTTGATCTTCAATTGAATCTTGATTCAATCTTCATATGAATATCTTCAAATCTTTGAAGATTCGTTCTTCATATCTTCGAATCTTCAAAGTCTTGTTCTTCAGATCTTCGAATCTTCAAGCTTCGTTCTTCTGATCTTCGAACGTTCTTCAACTTTTCGTATGATCTTGAGAAAATTCGTGGCTTGATATCTTCTTCCTCTTCTTTGGAATCGTTCAGAGCCTCTCGGGAGTTCTTCAGAGCTTTTCTGCAGCGTTTCTTTGACTTGAATTTTTTTTCTCTTTTTTTTTTCTCAACTGGGACCCTATTTATAGGTGTGGAGGGGATGAAATATGCTTTAGGGTTCTCAAAATTCGTTCATATCATTTGGGCCCCAATTAAAATGGGCTTTGGGCTCAATTTGCTTGCTTTTTAATAGCTACAAAAATCAGCATCTATTCGATGTATCTGAACAGCTTTCTTAACAAGATTCAGAGCTATTTCTCATGCATGCGGATGGATTTCTTAACCAGATTTATTGCTCTCTTTATCAATTGAATCATGGCTCTTAAATATTGAGCCAATATTTGATAATGAGCTTAATAGGACCAGCCCATTTTTTTTAAAGATTTAATTTATAATTAAATTAATTGGATATTGTAAATGATCCAAATTAATTTAATCACTAAATTTTATTTGAGCGGATTCATATTAATGTTTTCCTTTTGATAGGCTGATAGCATTCATGAGCAGCCCTGTAGAATTCAGCGTTGATCTACTAGCATTCAAATGAGGCCCAATAAAACAGATAATAGTCTGATAGCATTTGAAGAGACCCAATGACTACCAGCCTTGATTGTGTATGTATTTGAAGGAACAGTATGTCTCGACCCTGCATGATCAGCCCAATATTCATTTGTTGCTTAAAGAAAAGTTTAATCGATCAGACACATGAATTGAATTTTGAATGGCCGACATATACGAACTATCAGTATATAACCACTCAAATTCTGATCAATAGCCAACTTATAATTTGCCATCATGATCTAATCAATTTACGGGTATTAGAATTAGAATTCCTAATTTCCGTCATCCTTCAAATCCTATTAGGACTTTGATCTTGCATTTTGTATCCACTGTTACTATTTTTATCATAAAACATCAACTAGCTTCTCTTCTCCGTATTCAAACATTACAAGAAACATTAGAATCTGATTGGAGCTTTCGGAAGAGGAGACAAAAAAATTCAGCAGGTAACTCTTTTCTTCCTCCTCTTCACTATTGCTCTTTCTTTCTTTCTTTTGGTGTTTTGCAGGGAAATTTGTAGGTCGCAGCTCCCCTGTTTGCCGCCGGGCTGATTGGCCGTCGTTCCTATCTCCGCTGCTCTTGTTCGTCGAAGAAGAAGATTGCTGCTTCACTTTGTAATTTCCGGCGAGGAGGAGACCACGGCACCTGTTGCTATCAGAGACTGGCGTTGCGAGAGGCTGATTTACGGCGAAGGAGATGCCGTTCGAAGTTTTAGTGGGGCTGTCGTCCTGTTGTTGTCTTTATACGAGAAAGAAGACGGACCAGGTCACAACTTGGGTAAAGATTTAGCCCGATCGATTTCAGCCGATGTATTTCAGTTTCAAGGAGGTTCTGGTGCTGCGATGATTTTCTTCTGGTGGTGAGCGGCGAACCGTTTCTTCTGGTGCCAAAATATGAATTCTTCGGGTTTAATTTCACCTACGTCAAGGAGGGAAAGAGCTCGCCGTCTAAATCCTGGGAGGAATTGCTGTTCGCAGATTTGAGACCGAAGCTGGTTGGAAATTGCGGCCGGAGACGATGGTGACGAGCTGCCGTTTGCTGTGTTGTCACAGGCCGAGATGACGCCTCTGCTGCAGTCTTGCGTGAAGATGACCAGGGATGAGGATGCGGATGAGGATGCGGATGAGGATGCTGTACTGTTTTTAATAAATATTGGGCCTGTCTAGAATTTTAACCTCCTCAAAGGGTAGTTCTAAAAGAGGCCCAATTTTCTGCTATTTCATGTGCATTGAATATGGTCTCGTTTATTGAAGAGGAAGGAGATTGACTAATTATCAATCGTCGGTGTCGCTTGGGGTCCTTCGTTGGGCTAGTGATACTGATCTAAAGAATTAGGTCGATTTCCGACCGTCGGTGTCGCTTGGGGCCTTTCGTTAGGCTAGTGGCACCGATCTAAAGAAATAGGTCTATTGCCGGTTGTCGGTGTCGCTTGGGGCCCTTCGTTGGGATAGTGACACCGATCTAAAGAAATAGTCCGATTGCCGGTCATCAGTGTCGCTTGGGGCCCTTCGTTGGGTTAGTGGCACCGATCTAAAGAATTGGTCTGATTGCCGATCATCGGTGTCGCTTGGGGCCCTTCGTTGGGCTAGTGACAACGATCTAAAGAAATAGTCCGATTGCCGGTCTTCAGTGTCGCTTGGGGCCCTTCGTTGGGTTAGTGGCACCAATATAGAGAATTCGGCTAATTGCACCTGTTGAAGACTGAGATGTTCCCGCTACTTTCAAACTTTGTCCATTCTGAAGGAGCTTGACTAATTATTGGCCAATGTTACTGATTTATTTTGTTTGTCTAGTCATAAGATGAAGCCAATCGCTCGGGCTTGAGATTGATTATCATCGCTGAGCGGCCCTTTTTATTATTATTACTATTATTGTTATTATTACTTTAGTATTTTTTATATAGTAATAATAATAATAATAATAATGATGATGATGATGATGATGATGATGATGATGATGATGATGATGATGATGATGATGATGATGATGATGATGATGATATTTTTTTTTGCAGTCCAAAATGATATATTTTAAGGACGTAAGGCGTGGAGGCAAAAAGTATCTCTCAATATCAACGAGCAAGAAGAATGATGAAGAGATTCTTTTGGAGATGCACAAACCATTTGCTCGCGAGTTTTGGGGTCCAACGGTTGTGTCCTATCGAGTTACAAACTGGACTCCTGAGCGCGAGTATCAAGCTCAGACAATGCGGACTTTAGTATCTGGCTTTACTCACATGTCCTCTTCTGAGATTCTTCCTTCTTTGGGTAGACGTATCCTTGATGAAAACATCCCTTTGACAAAGACCTTATCATTTGGTGGTGAGTTTAGATTCATCACAGGCTATTGGGACTGGGCCGAGGATATTTTGGGCATGAGTAAAAGCGTTCTGGAGGAAGGGCTTATTTACGATGCTGTTTATACCTCATTATTCACGTATGACCGATGTACTAATGCTATTCAAGCATTTTGTGAGGCATGGTGTCCCACGACGAATACTTTGCTTACGTCAATTGGCGAATTGACGATCACACTTTGGGACTTGCACGTTATCAGAGGATTGCCTATCATAGGAGACGCATATGATGAATCTATTCTGGGCACTTCTGAGTTGTTAAATACGAGCGCTGACCGTTCATTTCATCTCTGCAAATATTTGTTTCACGCCTATCATCATCTCTTTCCCAAAGCCGGAGATAAGCGTGTTTTGCATGTTCATGTGTGGGTCAAATTCTGGTTCAGAAAGGCCTCCAAGTATACTATGCCTCCAGTGAGAACTGAGAAGAAACGAACATCTCGTACCAAGGCGACCCATAATCCGAGCGGAGCTATTCCAAAATTTTGAGGATGGTCGACTTCTATGAAGGTACCTTTCCATGTACTCAAGGTTCCTGCTGAATATGAGGACGAGGTATATTTAGCGGCATTTTATCGTGTTGGCTTTGTGCATTTGTATTGCCGCATGAAGGTTCTAGTGTTATCCGCCCGGAAACATTTAGAGTTGCTTGTATGTTGGCTCGAGGGAAACGTGTATGCCTTGCGGTCCCGATTCTTGCAAGTGTCTATCATGGGCTTAATCGGATCTCGAATGCTCCAGCTCCTGATCAAGTTAGAAAGTGTTTTCCCGTTCACTATGTCTATGGATGGTTGGCATCATACTTTGATACACATTTTAAGAACGAGATCCAGTCCACGACGCCATTAATGATTTCTTATTCGGGAGAAAGTGGAGCGAGATCCCTCAAGAAGAGAAGTGCGTGAAAACGAATTTTCCAGGGAGATGTATCAGCATGGGTGTGTTCTACACATCGGAGAATCAGAGAATATTCATTCTGCGATGGTAAAAATCCTCCAGAGGCTGAGTTGGCACTTTTTAATTAGGAGTCTTTGGTCTAATTATCTTGTATTACGCTACCGGGGTCATTGCATTGTTGAACCTTACACTCCTCACCGCTTTAGTTTCCAATTTGGGTACTTTCAGGCTTATGCTTTTGGCTTTCTTGAGATGCGTAATCGGAGTGTCACACTTGCTGCTGGCTTTCAGCTTTGGCTACAGTTTGAGCACGGTATGTCACAAGCTGAAGCGGTATTTCCGACTCCTCCTACTATTCTAGCGAAATTTTATTCATTGCAGTATAAAGAATGGTGGGGTCAAGTCCATGGAAGTTATTTGGAGAATCATGTGAGTGGCTTGATCAAGATTTGCGATCTTGCGGTTGGTGATGTGATCACCCCTTCAGATCCTGTGACTCCAATCTCCAAGAAGAAGAAAATGCCTGATACTGAAGCTAAGTCTTTGCCTCAGAAAAAGGCTAAGTTTGTAGCACCTAGGGCTGAAGTTTTAATTAAGGATGCTGAGAAGGAAATGTCTCCTGCTAATGAAAGACAGAGTAGTGATGAGAGGAACTGGAAGCATTTTAGGAAACCTCATGTTGGGCAACTTAAGGTTAGTTTCATCATTTCATAATTTTATTTAAAGCGTGTACTTATATTTTTTTTCTTCTTTTGTGGATTCATGCAGTCCTTGATGATGCTAGTTCCTCGAATCATGTTTCTTCATCTAGCTCAAGTGAAGGAGAAAGCGCAGATCATGACACCGTCGCTGGATTGATAGCAGAAATCGGCCCAAGTCATTGCAAAGAAGTTCCGATCCATGAAATACCCAAGTCTTCTCATGCGAAACCGGCTGCATTTGTATTCCATGCAGAAGACTATTTCTTTACTTTGTATAAGCAGTTCATCATTAATACTTGGAGTGGCATTCAACAAAAGTTAGGACGGGCTACAGCAGAGAACGTCTCATCTCTTCGGGAGAGTGTTGAGAATTGTGTTATCTTGATGGAGAAGGAGGGCATTGACCTTTCCATGTTGAAGACGAGAGTGAAGCATTTCTTTGAAAGGGCACAAACATTTGATCAGACGTGCTCGACTGTTGCTGATAGGGTTCCTTCTGAGAAACAATCTCAGGAATTGGCTATGTCGCAGGCTTTTTGTGAAGATATTGAAGCTAAGAGATCTTAAAACCAAGTGGCATTACTTGATGATGAGAAATCTCGTAATGATATCAAGAAGAAGATAGCCTTATTGGAAGCTGAAGCTAAGGAAATAGAAGTTTCGATCTCCAAGCGTCGTGTAGAGGCTAGTGACTTAGACGCAGCTCTTACGAAGGCTAAGGAGGAGTCTTCACGGATTTTGAAGACTATCAAAGCATCAGATGAGGATCAATTTGCTTTAAGTACTCAAAAGAAGGAGCTAGAGGCCTTGAAGGATGACTTAGTTAGCTTTAAATTGTTTTTAGGCTGATACTTAGCTCTTAGATTAGCTTTTAGTCAGCAAACAACTCTTTTCCTTACTTCTTACCAAACTATATATGGATATTTGCTTCCTTTGTTGCTTCTCATGAGTTGATATTGCCTTGCTTCTTCTTCTGTTTTCTCTTTTTTTTTCAAAGTGACTGAGATCAAACTTTATTGAGGGTTTGTGTTGTTATAACTGAACTCAAAAATGAAACTTTTGAGCTGCCTACGTACTCCTATGAAGGAGATCAAGTCAAACGTAGTTCATAAGTACCATTCGAATTGGTAATCTAAAGGAGGGGACCGTACACAGTTTTAACTCATGCGAGTCACGAGCTTGCCGTACACATTTTTAACTCTCGTGGGCCAAGAGCTTGCCGTACACATTTTAAACTCTCGTGGGCCAAGAGTATCTATGATTATGCTCACCCATAGACAAGGAGAGATGTTTTAGCAGTTTAGCCACTTACAACATCATTGGTGGGTTTAAGCCATTCAACATTTCTTATGGCCATATCTATACCCCAAATATCAAGGGTAGTAGAGCTTTAAAAATCTTCCATTGATCGGGCCAATCTTTGAGCCATCTCCATCGATCAATTTGTAGGCACCGCCTGAATATACTTCTTGAATAACATAAGGACCATCCCATTTATGTGAGAATTTGTGCCCCGTTTTTCGTGTGATAATGATAGGTCTTCTCACAGCTAGAACTTTATCGCCGACTTGGAATAAGCGAATTCTAACCCTTTTGTTGAATGATTTCGATGGACGAGCCTGATAGCATTCTAGGTTCTGCTGAGCTTCTAACCTCTTTTCATCAAGTGCCTCGAGTTCTGTCAACCACAACTTGACGTTTTCTTCATCAGTGAGTCCTTCTTGAATAGCCAATCTCAGAGATGGTATTTGGCGCTCAAGGGGAAGGAATGCTTCGGTACCATACACCAAAGAATATGGAGTGCTTTGAGTAGGTGTTTGATAAGTCGTTCTACATGCCATAATGCTTCTTCCATTCTTTCATGCCAATCCCTCTTTGATTTTGACACTACTTTCTTCAACAGGTTGCATAGTCTTGTTAAAAGCTTCAGCGAGGCCATTGGCAGCAGCATAGTACATAGAGGACTTCCGTTGCTTGAAATCAAATAACTTGCATATCTTGTCCATCAACTTGTTTTCAAAAGGTTTCCCATTGTTCGTCAAGATATATCGGGGAATACCAAAGCGGTAGATGATATGAACTCGGATGAAATCAGCAACATTTTCCTTTTTCACCTCTTTCAATGCAACTGCTTCGGCCCATTTTGAGAAGTAATAAGTAGCGGCTAGTATGTATGAATGCCCTCCTGATGAGCTAGGTGTAATTGGCCCAACCACGTCAAGTCCCCAAGCGTCAAATGGAAATGATGCTACTGTCGGATGCAAAGGCTCCGGTGCTTGATGGATGAAATTTGCGTGATATTGGCATGCTTGACATCTTCTAGCATAGTCCATGCAATCTTTTACCATGGTCGGCCAATAATATCCCATCTTTTTGATATGAAAGTGCAGGTTAGGACCGGACTGATGAGCTCCACATATTCCTGAATGTGCTTCTTCCATTGCTTGTAAGACTTCATCTCCACCCAAACACCTAAGGAATACACCATCGAATGATCTTCGATAAAGTGTATCTTTATAATAAATGAAACGCGGTGAACGCCTCTTCAAGTCTACTTTCTTGCGGGGATTTTCAGGTAATTTCCCATCAGTGAGATAATCAATGAGCGGTTGCCTCCAATCTTCATTTTCAATATCATAAACCGAGGTAGTTGGCATCTCGACTATCTCTTCGGCTGCACCATCGTCTCCAATGAATGGAGGAATTACCCATTTTTGACATACCCGTACTTGAGTTCCATCGTCAAGGTGTGCCATGTTCGATGCTAACCCTGCCAGTGCATCGACTTGTTTGTTTTCCTTTCTTGGCATGTGTTCAATTGTAACTTCACCCAGCCATCCTATGAGTACCCTTACTTCATAAATTCCAAGCACTTGATTGATGATTAGTTTTGAATCACCATAGATATTAACTCGTGTTTGCTTCATGTCTACAGCTATTTCAAGTCCGAGAATGAGTGCTTGATATGCAGCGACGTTATTGGAGCATTGTTCCGTAAGCGTGAAAGCATATGACAGAACTTGACCTTCGGGTGTAACAAAGACCACACCAGCTCCAATACCTTCTCTGTGTGCAGCTCCATCAAAATACATCTTCCATGGAGGCAAAACTTCAATTATGAGCACATCTTCATCAGGTAGATCATCAGAAAGTTCCTACTCAGCAGGGATAGGGTGATCGGCTAGGAAATCTGCCAAAGCTTGTCCTTTTACAGATTTTTGTGAGACATAAACAATCTCAAACTGTTGAAATATCAAGTACCACCTAGCAAGACGATCAGATAGAACCACTTTGGACATCACATACTTCAGCGGATTTTCTCTGGAGATAAGACTTATCGTGTGAGCTTCAAAGTAGTGTTTAAGCTTCTTGATTGCAAATATAAGGGCCAAACACAATTTCTCAATGGGCAAGTACTTCAACTCGTGTGGGGTCATCATTCTGCTTAAATAATAAAGGGCATTCTCCTTCCCTTTATCATTTTCTTGAGATAATAGAACTCCCACAGACCTTTCTTGAGCAGCAATGTAAAGTATCAAAGGGCGGCCAGAGATAAGTGCATTTAGGACCGGTGGTTTCATCAAATAAGCCTTGATATTTTCAAACGCATTCTCACACATTTGGTCCCATATGAAAGGCACACCCTTCTTCATAATTCGACTAAATGGATGACATCTTCCAGATAAGTTCGATATGAACCTCCGTATGTAAGCCAATTTTCCTTGCAAACTCTTCAACTCATGAATATTTCGAGGCTCCGGCATATTCACAATAGCGTCGATATTGGCTTGTTCTATCTCAATGCCTTTGTGACGGAAAATAAACCCCAAGAATTTCCCAGCCGAAACTCCGAAAGCACACTTCAGAGGGTCATTTTGAGACCAAACTTCCTCAAGCGATCAAATACTACTCTTAAGTGTGATAGATGATTGCCTCGGACTTTTGACTTCACCACGAGGTCGTCAACATAGCACCCCACGATTTTGTGAAGGATATCATCAAATATTGCCTGCATAGCTCGTTGATAAGTAGCTCCTGCATTCCTAAGTCCAAATGGCATGACCGTGTAGCAATAGATCCCCTTAGGAGTTCGGAAGGCAGTCAATTCTTCATCTACGGGAGCCATACAGATCTGATTATAACCTGAGAAACCATCCATAAAAGACATAATTTCATGCCCAGTCACAACATCTATCATTAATTCAATTATTGGAAGTGGAAAATCATCTTTTGGACAAGCAAGGTTAAGATCCCGAAAATCAACACATATTCGGATTTGTCCATTTTTCTTTCTGACCGGGACAATGTTGGATATCCAAGTAGGATATTTCACTTCTCGAATGAATCCGGCCTCAATAAGTTTATCAACCCCTACTTCAATTAATGGAATTAAATCTGGGTGGAAGCGCCTTTGAACTTGCTTTACTGGTCGACATCCTTTCTTTATCGCTAAGTGATGAACAACGATTTTTGGATCCAACCCCGACATTTCTTTGTATGTCCATGCAAAGACATCCTTGTATTCTTGGAGTAAGGCCACATATTCTTCTTTTTCTTCGCTCGATAGAAGAGCACTGATATAAATGGGATGAGGGTCCTCTTCGGTGCCAAGATTTACCTCCTTTAGTTCATCCAAGGCTGTTCACACTCCTTCTTCAAATTCCAGAGGAGCTTCATCAGCATCTTCACCTTCGACCGGGATTTCATCACCAAGGGTAATATGGTAAGATGAGGCAATGTATTCCTCGTCATCAATCAGTTCATCATATTTAAACTTATTGTCTGCCGGCATTCGAGTATGAATAATTGTTTTCAACTGTACTTTGAGAGTTTCTCCACATGAGACTTGCACATCAGTTTCTCGCCTCATTCAGGATGGAATCAAGCTTCTATATTCATTCAAAACTTGTGTTTTTGTATATTTGTTGAGAGACTTCTTGCGTGAGCGAACTTTCCCCAACCTTTCATGTACCAGCTTTCTCTCAAAGTTTTGCCCACTACATGGGTCTTCCATGTGCTTTACCATGAAGGGGATCATTCCAAGCCTTTCTTGTAAAGTTTTCTTCATGATCTTCTTTGGCTTTGGCCCCATTCTATCAAAGATGGCGGGTTTTGATTTTGCCCCCCCAATCCGATAAAAAATGGAATACTTCGGTTTAGAAGTCACCTCATCTTCTTCATCCGCACTGATATGATGCGTTGTGGCTCTATTTATAAGGATTCTTATGGGTTTCAGCTGAACGTAACCCAAACCTGTGTGTCCTCGAAGATTGATTTGCTTCGATGGTCCTTCTCCACCAGCTTCTGGAATGAGTTTTCCTAACTTCTGTTCATTAGGATTATACCCAGCCTTGGCCAGAAGTTTGTATGCATTTGGGTCAAATCCTTCATTAGTGCGTGCCTTGGGGATTTGAAACTCCTTAACATCATCCTTGTGCTTTATTTCTTCCTGAGACGTGTCTTGAGGAGGCCTCGATATCTCGATCTTTGCAAGAGGGAATGTAAGCCCTTCTACGCCTTCAACAAGTTTCCCTTTCAGCTTTGGTTGAGTCAAGGGGCGATATATTTCTTCTTGTCTAATATCGTCTTCTTTAGAAATTTTGGCCTTCTGGTAAAACTTTGCATCTGCAAAGTATGTCTCGGCTTCTGTGAATTGAGTTTCATCGGCCACTACCTTCTTTACAACACCGATCTCCTCATACATGAAGCATTGATGCCATGTTGAAGGAATCACACCGTTCTCATGGATCCATGGACGACCTAGAAGGAGATTATATGAAGCCTTTGCATCAATGACGTGACATAAAGTACTTGCTTTCAACCCGCCAATGACCAAATCAAGACGGATCATTCCAATCGCTCTTTGCCCCCCTTGATTAAAGCCTTGAATCATTAAGCGACTTTGGGAGAGTTCATCCATTGATATATCAAGATCTTTCAT